TTAAGTACCAATTTTCATGACACGAGCTCGCACAATCGGCACGGTAAGTGACATGCCATTATGTAAATTGACTGCAACAACTGCACAAAACTGCTGCAAAAAATACGTGACTTTAACAGCCCGCTGACAAACGCATGTCAATATTAGTTAGATTTAAATTTCAAGAAAACTGGTTAAACTTCCGATGCATGAAATTGAAATGGGAGGAAAAAGCTAATGTATAGAATTATCTCTGTGATTCCAAATTAAACACCATGATAAAGCAGAAGACAAAAATTCATTGAAAAAAGAAAATATCAAAATTCATAGGGGAGTATTATTTTAATGGGTTAAGGGGGAAAAAAACGTGACTTTTATTCTTTAACAGACAAATGGGGGAATAAAATGATCTTGCCTCGCTGATACAAATACAACTCTGTTAGAATAATGTTTTTTTAAAAGATGCACCTTTGCTTTGCCAAATTATATTTATTTAAACCTATAAAATTATGAAACTGGATCATAAATGATCAGTCATAAGAAATTAAGAAAATTTGAGCTAAGAGCAAGGTAAATTACGAAACTTTGACCAAAGAGCAAAGTAAAATAAAAAAAATTGAACAAAGAGCAAGGTAAAATAAGAAAACTTGAGCAAAGAGCAAGGTAAAATAAGAAAACTTGAACAAAGAGCAAGGTAAAATAAGAAAATTTGAACAAAGAGCAAGGTAAAATAAGAAAACTTGAGCAAAGAGCAAGGTAAAATAAGAAAATTTGAACAAAGAGCAAGGAGCAAGGTAAAATAAAAAAACTTGAACAAAGAGCAAGGTAAAATAAGAAAATTTGAGCAAAGAGCAAGGTAAAATAAGAAAATTTGAGCAAACGGCAAAGGGCTGCAGTAAAGGAGCATGTATTCCTTCAATCTTTGGTCACATCAAAGCCATAATGCATCTTATAACTAAGATATTAATAACCCCTTGTTCATTTCATATAAAATGCATATACTAAATCTACTAATTTCATATTTTTGCCCTCTACTTCACACCTTTTTTGATAAATAAAATACCAGGGTGTTTTAACCAGAGCAAAAATGAAGTTAAGCTAATAACCTCCAACAACATCTTAAAATCTAACTGATATCTCAAAAAACAACAAATTCAGGAACAAGCAAAAACAAATTTCATAGAAATGGGAAAACTGGAATTTTATATGCTTGGCTTATCATAAAATCATACAAAACTCCACTCTGCATTAATCCCATCTTGATGAAAACTAATTTTTTTCGACATGAGTAAATCGCTTTGACAGGTAATTTTACTTGCTGGAGAAATAATATAGCTACTACCTCTTTATTGCGAAAATAAAAATTACTACAAATTAACATAAAGAACTCTGAGGAGAACACGAAAAAAATTCATTTGATTCGCCAAACAAACCAATTCTTCAAAGAATTTCGTTTCCATGGAGAAATTTACTAATTCTGAACAATGAGTCAATGTCAAAGAGACAGATAACAATAGATTTTGACATTAAATTCAGTTTCAAACTTCCATTCGTATAGATAAGAATTTTCTTTTCCAGTTCCAACGCTTATCTCTATCAACATCTGTACCATATCACTGAACAGAAAACAAAGCCTCCAGAATAATCCTCATTAAAATCATACTTTTCCTTTGTTTTGCATTTCAAAGATTTTTCCCCCAGATAATCAGTTAAAAGAAAAACCCATTTTCTACCTGTATCTCTTCAGTAGTATAGTTTTCGTAAAAATAATTTAAAAACAAAAGTAGTCTCCCTTCAGTCGAAGTCAAGAAATTAACGACTTTTTTCACCTGTCCGTTCATCCCTGTTAAAGTCATACACAAAAAGATATAAACGTTCAACATTTTTTCATGTTTTTATCATTAAAATTTGTTGTTTTTTATGTAATTGCTTCTTAAAAGACTACAGAGTGTATTTTGAGACAGGTGTATATACCTACACATTGTTTATATGTAACTTTTAAATGGGGTCTTTATTGCCGTAAATTTAGTTAAATGTAAATTATTACTTAAGCAAAATGTTAATTTTGTACGGTACTTATTTTCTGTGAAACTATGGTGAAAAGTGGTTAAATTGAACTTACGAAAAAAAGCTTTGGTTTTAAGTCATGAACTTAATTTTATTACAAGCAAGTCATAAAGTGAATTTTTTTCTTCTGTGATTTTTATTTTTAATATTATTTATTTTTTGGTTGGGTTTTATATCGCACCAACACACTATAGGTCATACGGCAACTTTACTGATGAAAGAAGACCTCCAGTGCCCTTCTAAGCATCTGCGTACCACCGAAATTCTGTAAGCTAGCTGAAAGGACTAAGCTTCCTCACATGAAAGAATCCAAAGCCCCTATCAAACCCACAGGGGTGGTGGGCAAGTGGTTCAAAGTCAACAACTTCAATTTTTATATGAAATTACCTACATAATGAATAAATATGATTGATGCTAAAAGCCTCACTTTGAAACATGACTGATATTCTACTTCCCTGGTCACATACGTATTCATTGGGTGTTTGGGTCACTTAAATCCTTAACATCAAAAAACATAAAAATAATAATATAACTTAACAGCTGATAACTGGATTAAAATATAACAAGTCAAATTATCATATTAATATATTGCAACTTTGCATCCAGCTAAATTATACTTTAATATTCTCAGACAATAAAATGAAAATTGACCAAATATTTGCTTTGTGCATAATATAAAGAAAAGGGAAACAAAAAATTATTCAAAAACTTGTAAAAAGATCAAAGGTTGGTGCAGAAAAATGTGTTATTAATATTGATTATGCATCTTAACAATAAGAAGTTACTACCAGGAGTCAGAAAGGGACCAGATGTCCCACATAATTTATGTTAATTAACCTTCCAAGTCACGGTCAGTTTATGGCTTTAATTGGCCGTTATTGTGCAATACAACTCCAACAACATGTGCATCTAATAAAGTAGTTTCATACAAAATCATTCTCCAATACAATTATACATTAACAAAGACACAATTTGTTTTTCCTCTGGACATTATATTCCTTTCTGAAAATAATAACTGATCCCTAGCTGGACCCAACTGTAACCATGAAGTTAAATATTATGCAGCCATCTAGCTAGTATCGTACAGAGTTGCTGGCCATAAACATTCAATGTTGTAAGGCCGCAGAGCTAGTGATATTTTATTACTCTTAAATTAATTATGTTTTGTTAATAAAAAAAATAAAAAAAAAAAAAAAAAAAAATTTTATAACAAGATGACCATTCTTTTGAACAGATATAAAGCAACAAACTGAAAAATTCTAATTTACTCTAATGTTGTCCAAAATAATTCAATGGACAATAGAATTGAAACAAACCAGGGAGAACAATAGAATGGAATAGATTTTTAACAAATTTCAAACAATGCATATAAACTACAAAGCATGGATACTTCCTATATTACCCAGTTCTGTCTGTCAAAACATTGGAGTCAAACAACTTACGATTGTAAACTGTTTAATTATACGAAACAAGAAACTTTAGCGAAATTCCAACCAATCAAATCCTACATAATTTCTGTTAACTTGAAAATTTTCTAACAGCTGTATATAAATCTTGACAGATAAAAAAACAACAAAATATACTTGGCAATGATGTTATTTTTATTTTGCTTGAAGAAAATGCCTAAAGACAAAATCTACAAGGAGCATATTTAATGTCATGGTAATTTTGAAAAGCATCTACTAAAATAATGAATACTAAATCCCGTTACAAAATTTCCAGTAAAACATCCATAAAACGTATTGTAACAAAGGAGATGAGATGTATTTGTTCTATAAGTCGAGTCATATTTTCAAGATTTCTCGATGTTTTATGTTAAAACTTCTAAAGCTTTTGTTAACAGTATCATAATGGATGTCATATGTTCTCGTATAAAATATGCCAAAACAATTTTCCGGCATAAAATTTCTTGAAGACGGGCAATAATTTTGAAGAGTTCAAACACATTTTGCTATGTGGATATAATATTAACCAAATGCTATTTAGTGCATTGTACAATGTTAATTATTAAGTAACAAATTAACAGAATTATGAGAGCATGCCAATTTTTCGATATTCTTGTCATATTCTTACACAATCACAAAACCCCCACTGTAATATTGTAAAATAGGCAAAACGAGCAATAAATCAGCTCTTTTCAGTTTTTTTTCGACTGCTGGTATTGCGCGTTAACAACAGCACACAAATACAAAATCCTATACGATTTACATTACGCTTGAAATAAAAACATCATTTCTGGCAAAATTTGTCGGAATTAGATAATCTGATATTTAATCAACAAAATTAAATGTCTCTAACAATTGATGTTTATAGTAAAAATAACGATTCTGCCTGTTCTTGTTAAGCGTGCCGCACACACAAAAAACTAGTGTGCAGTAATTTTTGCATAATTACCACTGTGACAATTATTGCTTCATCATGCAAACACTAAAGTGATTAGGCCAAAAGAAAAGAATCTGTTTTTACCATCGTGCAACATAACAATTTCTTAATCAAGAAAATTGTTTGTCTAGGCTGCTACGATTTAGAACTAGCAAATTTGTTCTATCTTAAAAAACTTTGAAAGTAAATGAAGTCAGGTTAAAAATTTAAACAAAGAACTTGTTAAAGCAGCAGATTTTCAGTAGCAGGCTGGACAACATTGAAATTTACCTACATGTTAATTTAATTTGTTATGGTTTGAATATCAGGCATGTACCTTCAAGTTTTAGCCATACTGAAACATTGCAAAATAAATATTAAAATAGTAAAGGAAAGCTTCAAAACACCTCTACATTTTTTCATCTCTCCATCATTTCTTTAGGTTCGAGGTTTGAGCCTTATCAGTCATGAAACATTTATCAACTGGCTTTTCAAACAGATTTTTCATTGGACCAGCACATTTCAGAGTTTCTCCACAAATTACTGCCAACTTCTCATCATTCAAATGGTAAAATATTAACAAGATGTTATACCTATAGGGTATTGTAGGATTTCAGCATGTAGGCGTATGTGACATGAGATGAGAATTATTATTTCTGCTCCTTCCACAACATGCACAATCCCTCACTGAAACAGCCTGAAAAAAGATTTCAACTTAATATTAAATTGTTCAAGTTAAGACTTCTTTAACGTGGAAGTAATACCAACCACGCATGTCATGAATTTTACGCATACAATTCCCGTGCCAATAAACGTAACTGTAAAATATAATGGCCACACACAAAATATTTAGAAATGTTGGGTTTAAAGTGAAAATTCACTCTACATATGTTTTGGCAATTAGAAACAAAGTTGCATTTCGAATTAACAGTGTAAAAATTTCTAAAGCTTTGATCGGCATCAAAATTCTCCGAGGGGCGTCTTACACAGGTACAAAATGTATAATTCCTTTAAACTTCTTTCATTGCAAATATTAATCGCTTAAAGAAATGAATCATTTAAATGAGTTATTAAAGAAGAGCTCAAGTCATGAAAACAGTTTTTTCTTTAAAACTTCCCGAACGAAACTGTGATTTTCGTAAGCGCCACGGCTTATGGCACTATAATTCTGAATATCTCCCCTCCCCTAAATCATTTCTTTTGAGAGTAAATTGCTAAATTAAAGACATCTAAATCTTCAAATACTTGCGTTTACGTACTCAAGAGATCTAAAGCATCGAAAAAAATTATTCGTACTTTAAGAGAATAGCTAAATCCTGTTAATAACTGCTTTCTAATTAAATATTATTACAAATTAAGTTTATAAATGAGTTAAAGAAGAAAATTATAGAAACTCTCTTTTTTTTCTTTTACTAAAAAAAAATATTTATTTTAAAGGAACTGAAATATTTTAGACTTTATTACTTTTAATACTATTATAACATCAAAGCTAAGCGCTAAATTTTCTGATTAAAAGTGTAATATTGAATCTCATTTTTCATTTTAATTTCGCCATCTCTCCCATAGATTGCGTAATTTAATTACTAGACAAGGATTCATATTACATTTAAATGTTTAAGATTCCATGTATAAGACATTGGATTTTGCTTTCTACAAACTTTTAGTTCAAGTGTTTAAAATAATGATAGGTCGAGTTTGTCAACATCCCGGGTCAATGTTCTTTTTCCTTTCTGTATTAAGTATCCTATTAAAATCATCTTTTCATTTACAACATAATCAAATGTAATATATATAAATTATAGGTTTTTATGTTAGTTGTTTTTTTGTTTTTGTTTTTTTTTTGTTTTACATCAAAAGAATTATTTAATACACAAATTGGCATAAATAAAAATATTCATAAATCTTGCAAACATTTCATTTCTCAATAAACAAATGCCACATTAATGCCACAACTTTTGTGTTAATTTTGTTTCTGACAATTAAGAAGTGCCACAACTCTTGTACACATTCCATTTCTGACAATAAACTAGAACTGTGTCCAAAGGACACAGATGCCCCCACTGACAACATATATATGGTATATAGTGAAAAAACCAACAAAGGGCCATAATTCTGTTAAATTTGGTCGCAGCAAAAATTCCTTCCTTTACTACCATCTACACATTAAGGTTGTTCATCCCTGGAAGTTTAAGAAAAATCTGCCATCCAGTTAAAGAGGAGTTGCGTTCACAAAATTTCTATATGGTATATAGTGTAAAAATCAACAAAGGGCCATAATTCTGTTAAATTTGGTCGCAGCAAAAATTCCTTCCTTTACTACCATCTACACATTAAGGTTGTTCATCCCTGGAAGTTTAAGCAAAATCTGCAATCCGGTTTAAGAGGAGTTGCGTTCACAAAATTTCTATATGGTATATAGTGAAACAAGAGTGATCAGTAATCACATGTGTCGCCTCATGATGGCCAATTTCATGTTTGGACACATTTTGTGACAGACGGACAGACAGACGGACAGTGCACAACTAGACTTGGTACTGATCATTCCTGTAAAGTTTGGATGAAATTGCACCAGTAGTTTATGAGGAGTAGTCCGGACAAGCTTTTGTGTATCTGGCAACACACAGAAAAAGAAACCTTTTTATCAAAGGGCCATAACTCGGCCAAAAATCATTCATCCGGAAAACCCGTGCAATATGCGCAAGGACTTGAGCTACAGATCAATCCTGTAAAGTTTCATTGAAATTGCATTAGTGGTATAAGAGAAGTAGTCCGGACAAACTTTAAAAATAAAAATTATTAAAGGGCCATAACTCAAACAAAAATCATTGAACCGGATAATGCTGACAATATGCACAACTAGACTTAGTACTGATCATTCCTGTAAAGTTTGGATGAAATTGCACCAGTAGTTTATGAGGAGTAGTCCGGACAAGCTTTTGTGTATCTGGCAACACACAGAAAAAGAAACCTTTTTATCAAAGGGCCATAACTCGGCCAAAAATCATTCATCCGGAAAACCCGTGCAATATGCGCAAGGACTTGAGCTACAGATCAATCCTGTAAAGTTTCATTGAAATTGCATTAGTGGTATAAGAGAAGTAGTCCGGACAAACTTTAAAATTAAAAATTATTAAAGGGCCATAACTCTGACAAAAATCATTGAACCGGAAAATGCTGACAATATGCACAACTAGACTTGGTACTGATCATTCCTGTAAAGTTTGGATGAAATTGCACCAGTAGTTTATGAGGAGTAGTCCGGACAAGTTTTGTGACGGACGGACGGACAGACAGACAGACGACGGAGAAGTGATCCCTATATGTCGCCACTACTCCGTAGAGGTGACACAAAAATCAACAAAGGGCCATAATTCTGTTAAATTTGGTCGCAGCAAAAATTCCTTCCTTAACTACCATCTACACATTAAGGTTGTTCATCCCTGGAAGTTTAAGCAAAATCTGCCATCCAGTTAAAGAGGAGTTGCGTTCACAAAATTTCTATATGGTATATAGTGAAAAAATCAACAAAGGGCCATAATTCTGTTAAATTTGGTCGCAGCAAAAATTCCTTCCTTTACTACCATCTACACATTAAGATTGTTCATCCCTGGAAGTTTAAGCAAAATCTGCCATCCGGTTTAAGAGGAGTTGCGTTCACAAAATTTCTATCTAGTATATAGTGAAAAAATCAACAAAGGGCCATAATTCTGTTAAATTTGGTCGCAACGAAAATTCCTTCCTTTACTACCATCTACACATTAAGGTTGTTCATCCCTGAAAGTTTAAGCAAAATCTGCCATCCAGTTTATGAGGAGTTGCGTTCACAAGATTTCGGGACGTACGGACAGACAGACGGAAGTGCGGCCGAATTGGAATAAGAGGCCATTTCTATTGTTATTTTCTATCGTTTAACAATGGGCCAATGGCCCCTTACTCTATTGTTACGGAATGAACTCTATTGTTCTCTTTTGTTCTGTTTACATTTAGATGGCCCTCTAACCCTATTCGGTAGTGCAGACAGACGTACAGAGGGACGGACAGACGGACGGACAAGTGCAACGCTATATGCTCCCACTTTGTGGGGGCATAACAAGTGACACAACTCTTGAACACTTTCTATTTCTGACAAAAAACCAAGTGCCACAATTCTTGCGCAATTTCATTTCTTACAATAAACAAGTTACATAACTCTTACACATATTTCATATCTGACAATAGACAAGTGTCACAATTTCTGCACATATCTTATCTCAAACAAAAGAGAAGTGCTGCAATTCTTGCATATATTTCATTTCTGACAATAGACAAGTGCCATAACTCTTGCTAAATAATCTAATATCATCAAATTGATTCATGGACACACTGCCAAAGTGGTCAAGGTTACTGGCTTCTTTTCTATTACTGTAATTTTTCAAGGTACAGTGATTTTTATTTGTTTGGGTCGTCAGACCAAACAAATAATGGTAGTGAAATTTCAGACCCTGATGTGCTTATTTGCCAAAAACCGAAAGTAGTCCAAACCCCTCAAAGCGGTTATTTCCCTTTATATGTACACTAACACTGAAAAGGTTGAGGGGTTTATACGCTCGCTTAGGAAGCGAGAGGTCTGGGAGTTCAAATCCCAGTTAAGGCAATTCTTTTTTTATTAAATTGTGTAAGCCAAATAAACATTGCATTGAATATCAGTGTTGCAATTAGTCTTATAGCCAATTTACTACAGTTATAACACTGGAAACAGCATTGGTGGCACTATACAAAAACAAATTGGTTTATAATCTCACAACCTGCACCTTTCTGACATTCTGAGCAAACAAATTCAGCACCTTCTGTGCTTTGATTTTTCTTGTGATTATTTTCAAAAAAGAAAAAGGTTTCACCTAGGTGCCCAAGTGTTTGCTTCTTTAAGGATGAAGAGAGGGGAGAAGAGCATGTGGTCTTCCTCCACCAGTCTGAAAACAGGCAAGTCAGCTTATGAAAAATAAACAAATTTATGTCCAAATTTGTAAACCTTACACTCAGACAGACAGACAAATGGGCAGACAGGCAAGCCGTCAGACACAGAAAACATAAAAGCTCTTTCACTCAGACAGACAGACAAATGGGCAGACAGGCAAGCCGACAGACACAGAAAACATAAAAGCTCTTTCATTAATTTCACACAAATTAATTCAATGCTACCTGGTATTTTTCAAAGCATTCTATAATTTGTGTGTAGTCCTTAAATAAATTTAATCAGACAAAAAGGTAACTACAACATTCTCCTCAGAAGTACATTAAACAAAAAATAATTAATACCTGGTGGAACTAAATTTAACTTTAAAGCAATTGAGAAAAGAAATAAATTATTGTTGAAAATTTCCACCCTCTTAAGATCAATTAGCTACAATGTTGCCGATTTCAAGCATCTTTAAAACAGTTAGGTGATTTTCGAAGATTTATTGTAATTAAACTCTGGAGGTTATATCATTCAGTGTAACACTCGATGTAAACACAACGGCACATGCTGTTTTCACTGTACTGGGAGTGTTAAATCCCTCCTTGCATCATTATGACTGCTATAACAGCCTGTACATCACACATACCCCATCGCTATAACTCTTTTGCAAGCCTTTTTTTCCCCTCGTATGATTTAATTACAGAAATCCACATTTCTTCATAAAATCGCAACTTAAGTTATTACTAGAAATTTGAAGAAAT